ATCTCAGCCAGCCATGCTGAGAGTTGAAGGAGTTTTTCCTCTCTCTGAACATGAATAAGATTAAGTTCATAGTTGCCAAACTGACTTTCTCCCATCCTTAAGCAAATATAGAAAAAATCCTTCACTGTGAATTTTACTGCTTTGCTAATGCACAATATAATGCTTAAACTTAGAGAATTGTGAAGAAAGTTTGCAACGGTGATAAATCTGTGAAGGGGCCAGTGCCTTCTCTACCCAGATGAAATCAACATGGATCCTAAAGACAGGCTGCAGAGATAGGAGAAAGGTTATCAGTTTATCACAGATCTTTGATGTTTTAGTACTCAAATCTATGGACTTGTATAAAGTGCCATGTAGCCCATGGTATCTGTGAATTTTTCTTTGAGCAATATACTAAGATTTGGTACATCCAGACACCAACACTGTGCCTTCTCAGTGAAAATTAAAAGCTGTACAATTGGACAAAAGGAACATTTGGAATACTTGGTTCATACCACTGGAACTACACTGATCAGCTTAAAATTGGGACATTCTTGAGTTCTACTGTTTCTCCACTGTGAATGGAAAAATGGAGTAAGCTTGAAATACAGTGATGGGAAACTTGTTGGCTCAAGAATTATGGCAGTATCACTGCCAAGATAATTTGAATTCTACATTTCTGGAATCTAAGTTGCTTGGCATGGTATCTGATGTACAATGTTGAACATAACTGAGCTAAAACTGGAACATGCCCATTCTAACATACTGCAAGTACCTGACATTGGCTTGATCTAAAGAACGGTGCATCTATTTGCATTTACAATTTTGGCACAGCATTACATACAGAACTTTAGATATATGCAACAGATACGCCTAATGGCAAATCTCTTTTATATGTAAGTTTCAAAAGCAGTTTGTGATATGGCTTGGGGGCCTGATCTTCTGAGCCAAAATGCCATTGGGCCAAGCAAAGCCCTTGAGTGGCAGTGACTCTCCATTGCTAATCAGGTATTATTTCTGGTGGTCAATGACATTAGCTTTTCCTAGTGGAGACAGTTGAGCAGGAGCACTTGATTTAGTAGCCTGCAGCGGAAGTGAGGAATTTTTGCTAAAGTTTGCTAATACTTCACTACAGTATATCTGTGACCTGTTTTTATGCCTCACATGTGTATAAATATAATTCCTATTGGATAGAAAGTGTGAGGATGCAGTACTGGAGTACTGGTTGTATGTGATAGACTACAATTTCCAGAATTGTAGTCTATCCCATACAACTAGCTGGGATCCAACAAGTCAGGTTGAGGAAGTTTGCATTACAGCTTTCAAAAGAGAAATCTATGTTCCAAATTCCATGGAGAAAGATGTAGAAAATTAATGTTAATACTTCTACAACAAATTATGAGATTGTACTGTGACTTGCAACAGTCTTCTTCCTTAAAAATAAATGCATTCTACCTGCTGTATCCTGCAGTGAAATCACAATGCTGTGCTGATGACACTATAGATGGTTACCATGGAAACTGATATCTCAGATTCAGCCTTAAGAAAGTACTCTAACATCAGACTTCAAGAAAGATAAGAATATATTCCTAATTTAAAGTTAGCAGTCTAAAAGATAAACCGAGGCTAGATAGATTTAGTGTAAAAGTACATGTGTTAAAAAACTACATGTGTTAAAAATAAAGCAAACACCACAAAGCTGACACATGCTTTTACATTAAAACAAAATGTGATGGCCTTCTGTTCTTTCATTCTTTTCAATATAGTACTAGACTGCATACAACAAAATAGGCAGTTGTGGCTTGTATAAGATTGACTTGCTCCATCAATGACAGGAAGCCACTTGCAAGACAGATTTCCCCCTCTCTGCAGTCCACTATGTCCATGGAAGATTTATGAAGGAATGGGCATGTGGCAGGGAGAGAAGAGGACAGCAAAGCCCTGTTGTGTACTTACGCAAGTGTTCTATCACTCCTGTAATTTGATTCTAGTTTTAGTGATAGCGGAACAATTTACCTTAATTTATATGTCCTCTCATTCTTGCCAGTCTAAGTACAAATAACTTATCTTGTAACCTGCCTATTATAACAGAAGCAAGACATACCTGTGAATGGGGTGGTGGGGTTGGTGTGATGGGGGATGTGGAAACAATATAAAGCAAAACAACAGCAACAACAAACCAAAACGCTCCAATGACTCTTTAAAGAAGTACATGCATACAGTGAACCATAGAAAGAATCTGTTGTGCTTCCTGTCTTCTACCACATGCATTACTACAGAAACAGCAACCAAAAATTCCAAATGAAATCTGGTCCACACATTTTAAAAACATCACTGCTTAGATTTAATCCTGAGGGTCGTTTTAGAAAAAGTGTTAAGAAGCCACAGAAACCATTCTGAACAGAAGTGTATAATATTATTTGCTACTATTTATCCAATACCCTCAGTTGTTTCTGTACTCAGCACCTGCATTCTTAGAAATGTCACAACTTGACAGTGTCATAAAATCTTGCATGAATAGTAGTCATGTTTACTTAAATCACAAAGTCAAAGAGTCACAGAGCTGGAAAAAACCTGAAGGGCCACCCATTCTAAAGAAATCACATTGATGCTTTATGCCCAAACTATTCCTGACAGGTATTTACACAATGACTTCATTCCAAACTCATTGCCATCCTTTGGGTATGTGAATTTTCTCCAGATCCTTTCATTCTCACCCTCAGACTTTTCAAACTTGAGAAAATGCTTCAGTCTGAGCAGATCTGCCCTTTACCTTTGACACCCGAGGCAAAATGTTTAAAAGCAGCTCTGCATGTCATTTTCACCAGGATAACTGTCATCGCCAGAGTGAATTAGCTGTGCCCAGCTTTTTTTCCTATTAGAATTGACCATGCAAATCAGGTCTATCACATCATGAGGTTTCCTGCCCCAAATCCTTGTCACTTGTGTTTACTGATCAGCAGGGACAGGCAAACGGACAATGTGACAGAATCTATTGTATGGCTTCGCACTAATAGACAATGTGGACGTATGGGCTGAAAACTCACCACAGGGATGCTGGTGAATATGACACTGTAACAGACCTATGTCAGGTCCATCTCTACTTGGCTTTCTTTGTCTTTTTGTCCTACAGTTCTGCCTCCACCAGTTGCAGACTGGGAAATCTGGGCACCTTCCTATTCCTCTGGCAATTGTGAAGACCTATCTTTTTCTTGTGGATGCACTGAAAGAGACTGCACAGGAAATGCAAGGAAATGAATGCACAGTATAAGCTGACAACTTGTGTGAAAATGTGGACCCAAATTTCTTTGAGACAAATTTAGAAGTGCTAGGAAAGGCATAATCTGGTACTGCCATGTCTACCAGCAACATCTGGAAGCCCTTGACACACCAAAAAGGAAGTGCTGGAGGCTTTGCAGCACATGTGGATGTGTAGCATGGCCTGGGAAGGACCTCCAGGTTGCAGCAAACCTCTGTCTTGCTACAAGGTCCTCAGCATGTTAATGGGAAAAATACGTCTCTTGCCTATCTTTAACCAGCATGCCAGAAGTCTGGAACAGATTAAAGGTCTAGCAAAAATGACCTTCCAGAACCTCTAATGAATTATAGAGGAATGATAATGTAGAAGAGATTTATCCTACCTTCTACTAAAGTGATTAGAAGGAGCAATTCACTAATCCCAAATTATAATCCAGAGAGATATTGTTCAATTTTGGAGCATGGGTATTTGACTTAAATATTTATATTTATGGAATGATTTAAAGCTATAAAATCTGTTATTTAGAAAACCTACAAAATAAGATATAGTGCACATGTACGTTGTCACGTACATGATTATAGTACTAATTAGTCAAAGTTATATCTTTTAATGATTAAACCAAACTAAGCAAGGCTATCTGAGGCCACATTAATAGTGCCATATACTATAGCACACTGCTAATTGTGTTCCCTTGCACTTCTGTCATTCTGCCAATGTTCCTGCAGCCATATGCTTAACAGTTTTTATTATTAAATATTTCCCTTTTGGTTTTTGTTTGTCAAATGCTTCTAGAGCTGCAACTTTGGTCTCATGATTCTTCCCGTTCTTACTTCTCTAGTTAGCCACAGTTGTGGCTCTGAGTGATCAGCCTTACTCCTTTCTGCAAGAAATTCAGTCGCCCACTCCTTGCACTTAGAAGCTGGCTCCCTCTTTGTTCATTCAGTCTTTCTGTGTTCACTGTTGACTACAACAGAAACTGCTATTAATTTTCTCAGTTCCTCTTTCCTGCTCACACCTTTATAGTTTCAGCCACACTATGACTTATGTTTATAACAGGGTTTTCTATTTTCATTGGAAAGGGCCTGAATTAAGCTTTCACTTGCTCTGTATCTTCATTTGCACACAATGCAGAACCAATACTATGGTTATGTTACTATAATTAATTCCTTGAAATAGGTTCCATTGAACTTAAAGGGACTTACTATTTAGTAGACATGCACTGTCAGTAGTACTTGTGGTATGCAAGAGACCAGTTCTCCAAATCTTTTTCCTTATGGTATTTCTCTCTTTCTGCAATTTAAATACGGCTCAAACTGAACACTAGGTAGGAAAGACTTCAGAACTAGGATTCTTGTTATTCACAAACTGCACAAATTACATTGAGCAGGGAACTGTCAACAGCTTTTGCTTTTCTTTTTTCTCAGTGAGCTTGACTGGTAAGGGTTAAGTGTGTGCACTTGACTCTTCCTCTGAATGCCATTTTCAGGGAAAAGCCGAAAGCAGATTAAAATGTGTCAGAAACTTCAAAGCAGAACAGTGTTCTTTCAGAGAGGTTTTCATGTAGCGCACACACAAAATTGAGCACTGCAAGCAATTCTTGACTACAGTACAGAGATGCAATTTGATAAATAGCTTCCCAACATTCAGAATTGTGCAAACCCATAGCATCAGCACTTTCATCCATTGACTCTTCTGCTATCTCAGTTTACTGTAGCTTTGTATTGTATTCATTTTTTCAATGATATAAACACATGTTTCTTACCACTTATGTGAGATGCTGCATGTCTTGCTGGTGAAGGGTCATTTTCATCTTCCTTGGTGAGGCTGGAGTCTTTGTCTTTTTCAAGTAATCTGTCCACCATTGCAATAATGCAATTTAAACTCTTTCCCACATTGGCCCACACCCTATCCTGAAAAAAGTATCAGTATCACTACTCAATAATTTTAAAAAATGCATTACAAGTCACAATAGTAGTATAATTGGCTTATTCATTTTCAATCTCAATTTTCTATCAAAAATACTAAACAATATAACAAAGAGAGCTCTGATCTTGAATTTGTTTAAATAGAGGATGCTTATGTCAAAGAACCAACAAAGTAAACAATTTTAGGAACTGCCACAGCAACTTAAGTCCCATTGCTTTCAAGGCTCTACTCCAACCATGGCTAAATACATCCCTATATTTGTATAAAACTGCCTAAATTGTTTTAAGGGAATATTACAGCATTAAATGATTAAAAGAATTGTAGTTCTCCTTCAGAATTTTATGTGAGTTGGTAAACATTTTTATTCTGTTGATAAAGAGATGTGGTGAGTTACATCTACAGTGGCAGAGTACATACTCTGAGAATGAAAGAGGTGTGATGGTTTAAAGATGCATACTCCAAGAGTTAAGCAATTTTACCTATTTCACAGCAAGCATTATGGGCCAAGAAAGTTCAAAAACAGGTTTATGTAGACAGAAAAGCAAAACAGATCATAGCAACAGTGATCTATCAAGTTCAGTCAATGGTACTTAATTTTTCAGTGTGCAATATTCTTTTGTAAACTTACCACAGGATCTGACTGACTCTGGGATGGGGAAGCTGATCATTGGATCACATAGTGAAGTTAATTTTATAGTGTTCCCACTGGGGACATGGTACATAGCACATGGCTGCATTCTGTAGATGGCTGAAGTGTCAATTCAGGTGTAAGCAATAGCCGTATCTGATCTCCCGGTCAGAAATACTACTCTAAAGTGTTTAAGAACCAAAAACCAGCAAATCGCTAACATGGCATTATGTTCATCTTTGCATTAAATATTTCAAGCATGTAGTACCAATTCCCTATCAAATTTACTGCACACTTTTTTGCTGTCGAGTCCAATCTGAAGTGGGAAGTCATCTTTAAAGCCTTGAACAGTTTGAGACAAGGTTACCTGAAAAATGAGTTATACCCAAAGGAAACTGCATGGGTCTTAGAACTGGCATAGAGTAGACACACCAGCAGGTGCATCCAGATTACTGGGAACACATGGCAGGGTGTTTTCACTGCTAGCGCCGTATTTCTTCACCGCTGAAAAATACATTCAGCTCCCTCTTTTAGGAGGTCCAGAACACTTTTCAAAATTTTGGGTTGCCTTTGCATAGAGAAGATAGGTTGATTTTAATTTAATACTGCTCATTAGCTTTTTATTGTTTTTTAACGGATACAGTTTGATCAGATGTGTTTGTACACCATGCTAACCCAGCCAGCTAGGATTTGCTTGTTTGTTTCTTTATTACGACATTAAATTCTGCCTATCTCATTCTAGGAAAGAATCTGACACAATTTTCTCTTTCTCTCAGTTTTATCCACACAACAACCCTGTAAGACAGATTAAACTGACTATCAAAGTCACCAATAAGCTTCACTGCTGTGTGCGAATCAGAAATCAGGTCTTTTAGTCCCAGTCCATCATTCTAACTACTGCACCAGGCTGACTGTCAGTGTTATTTTTGTAATGTTTTAGTTTAAGATTTATTTACTGTGAGCTACCTTAGGAGTTATTCTTTTGTTTTGAAAAGAGTAAATGTTTCTTATATAAAAAATAAACATGCACCTAAAATGTAAATAGCAATTTCTGAGGCACAGGGGCTGATAAATATCATAGGCACAGCAGGTAGGAAGGAGAGTTTAGCACTCTTCATTAGTTGTGAGTCTCAGAAAAACATGCATTTCCTAGGGCAGCCACAGTTCTCTTTTTGAAGGACTTATCAAAAGTTAATAACTGAGGAGCAGAATGTACAGGCAAGCACTCATGTCTCCTGTTCTCCTTCTTCCACATTATGGTGCAATGTACTGCATTTCTATCCAAACTGTAATTGTGATTTATAAATGTTCATCTATAGATATAACTATGCATATGTAAATGTTATGTAAATTTGCATCTTCTCTGGTCTCCTTCTTGGTCTTCTTTCATAGTAATACTTAAATAGCCACTCAATTTCCTGATGCAATTAGCAACTGCAAGGAGCAATTTTTGTCAAGTCCATAGCAGGAGAAGAAAGGGTTACATGCTCCCACCCCACCTGTTGCAATCATGATAGTGATCAGCTTCCAGTGGCTTTTATTTACATTTTGAATTGCCCAGGCTAAATGTAAACTTAACACCAGTTCTACTCTGACATTTAACAAGCTCTTCTTAAATTTAGCATGGAAAAATAATGCATTACCAAGATACCACCAAGCATACAGAAGAACTGGGTTTGGGTGCCTGGGAGGTTAAGAAATATCTGAACTCACATCCATTTGTTTCCAACTCTTAAGCGGATACACATTTGGGTCTAATTCAGACCAATCTGACTTTTACTTACAGCCAGCCACATGAAGTTGTACTGTGACAGCTGAACCATTTTGGTAATTCTAGTATTGAGGGGGGAACATTTCAGCTCCCTTTTTCATTTACGTTATACAATTAACTCTACTGGAGATATTCCCAATTTATACTGATAGCTACTGAGATACACTGGGACATGCGCCAAACATTATTGTCATATTTTATGCAAGTCTCTGAGGTTCAGAATGGCAATCATGAGTTTCATTCTTCTGTCCCTTTGCTTTCTAATTCACAAGTGAAAAAGCAATTTTCTCTTTCAACCCTTACAATATATTTACATGTGTAAAAAGTTTAGACCAGGACACCCACAAGAGTTGTCCAATATGTAATTCTCAAGATGTGATTATTTTCTCTCAGAAATGGTACTTAGTATTGACAAACAATTTCACTCCATAAAATTGCCCTCACTACTCTGCAAGGAAGGTTTTCCTCATTGGTAGCTTTGCTCTTCTGGACCACCATTCTCCATGATCCCCACTGTGGGAAGTGTAAAGTCTGTATCTTTTAAAATATGAGTGAAGGATTGTTCTTTCTTAAGTGTAGAATCTGTATCTTTTAGAATGAATAAAGGCCTGTTCTCATTGTCTCATCCTCCCCACAAGATTTAAGAAACATTTTGGCGTCAAGTAAGAATTGTCAAGGCCACTTTGGCCTGTTGAACTCTTAGAAGGTACTGCACATGTGTAATAAGTTTATGAATAGTAAATGACACACCTCTCATAGATAATAGGCTCATTAGCATGAACATGGGATGTATGAGTGGGAGGGGGGAACATATTAAAGAGTAGTATGATATAGGCGGATGGGGAAGATTGTGACTTCTTAGAAACCAGCCAATGGCAAAGCGGGGATAGTGTTGAGCATCGTGGAAAGGAATGTATAAAATCTCTTGTAAACAGTAAAAGATTGCTCTTTGTTTCTCAGACTACTGAGGCATTGAGCCAGCCTTTGCAAACACTTTTTGTATGGAATAAACTGCTTGTACCTACTCGCATCCTGTCTCAAAGAGTTTTAAATCTCACACCATGAAAAGCTCCATTGCAATTGGGCCTACATGTCTCCCTGAAAATGGCTGAAATGTTCCCCACTCTATTTTTAAAGACCAGTAAATGAAGTCACATTGGAAAGGTCTCTGGGAGCAATGATAACCTAGTTACTGCATCTTCAAACCTAGCTGAACAGTTCTGGCAAACCAGGTGCATTGGCTTTCCTATGCAAGAGATGCAGAATCATTTTCCTTTCGCAAATACTTTGAAATTGGTGTTTTTGAAGATTTTATTTTGGATAAATTGAACCCAGGCTCATCCATTTGCTTGCTTTCATATTTGTTCCTTGCTGTTCAAATAGCACTAACAACAGACCACACTAGCCAGACAGGAATACACAAAAGTGGCTTCCAAATGGCACTCTGCCCACTTCACTCTTGCATTATGTATGGCATGGATTGTTATACTCCCTGAAGGAAGGTTTTAGAATGATAGGAACAGCTGGCGAGAGAAAATGGGAGCAACCATTCAGAGACGATCTGTAACCATCAGGTAAAATATTTTTCTTTATGAAGTTAGCAGAGCTTTGGTACTGCCTATGAATACTATTGCCAACTACATTTTACTCAGCAGTTTAATCTATATTCATCTTAACTGTGTGCCCCTGCTTGTAATGGATTCTCATGGCACAGCAAATTACTTGCAGCATGATCTATAGCCCCTTTCATGCAAACTGGAAAGGGGAGCCTCACCCAATTGGTATGGTAGTGTCAGCTGCATTATGAATCTACCAAATATCTCTTCTCTTAGACAGTTTTCCACTGGTTTTGCTTTCTTTCTTTCAAAGAGCAGGTGGGAAAATGTGCCCTGCAAGGAGACATCTGTGCAGAATACTAGTTTTAGTTGCTGTTTTTGCTGCTTTATACTTCTAGTTTTAAAAACAGATATTCACTATTTTCATGAAGTTCTCATGTAGAAATTGTCCATACGACTGAATGAATATTATGCCTAGCTAGAAGAAATATTATGCCTTGCTTATGAGATACCAACAGGCATCTGTCTGGCCACTGTTGGTGGTAAACTGCTGCAGCAGATGGAATTTCTGCTCTGCTACAGCACGGTGGCTTTTATGTTCTAGCTCAACAGAATGCAAGCTGTGAACCAGTTTGCATTCTAGGTTGTAAGGTATGGGTGCAGCGAAAAACTAAGCCAAACTTTAAACAGTCATTGCCTTGATTGTTTGTGGTGAGCAAGAATTGCCTACAGGTGACAAATCATGTAAGCTTTAATCAGTTGGAAGGCTGTTGGTTGGTTCTATCTTTGTTCAGGCACTGATGCACCACAGAACTGCTTTTCCATATGTACCCAGTCACAGAATACTTCGGTTCCCACATTTTGCTTCCTGACATGAAGTGAGACTATTTTCTGAAGGTGAGGCATATGGATGCCAGATTCTAACTCTTTAAATATTCCGAGTCAGTGTTCGTGGATGCAGCCACTGCATCCCTGTTACCAAGCTGCTCTGACTCTTTTTGCAAAGTAGCAAGAAATGCAATGCCAACAGCAAGTGCATGAGAAAAGGAGACAAAGAAATGGATGCATCACAAATAGAAAATATAAATATGTATGGACAGGAAGGTTATTAAATTTTAGTAACTAAGGCATGATCATAGGCAGGTTGAGAAGGAAAAAAGGCCCACAAGCATTGTCAGGACATGCTGGAATTCTGGGAATTGTACATCCTTTTCCCTCTCCCTTTTGCATAGGATTTCCCTCCCTTTCCCTTTTGCATAGGATTGCACCTTTAAAGACACCTTTTCAGACAAATAAGAGATTTTTTGGTGAATATTAGATTGAACAAAGTCAGTGTTGTAATCCTATCCTTACCTACTTGGGACTAAGTCCCAATGAAATCTATGTAACTTATTTCTGAGCAGACCTATATAGGATTGTACAGCAAGAATGATTAAAGAAAGGGTGTATTAAATTATTATGATTACATTGGGACCCACAGGTATTGAAATAAAGTACTGAAGGAGAAATACAGATTGATGGCAACAATAAAGATGGAGAGAGTTGGGGCTGGTAATGCTTTGGCATTTGCTTAGTTTGCATTTTGAAGCAAACTGATACAATTCCCAATTCCTGAACTAATGTGTATATTTAAATGCAGTTATCTTTTCAGTTTTGCAGTTTTTGAATTTTCCTGATTTAAAAATTACTATAATGCATTTAAATATATGATATATTACTATGATATGTTTAAATACACCTTTAAAATGTATTTTATAGTAAAATGAGCATAAAATCAGTACTTTATGGTACAGTGTATATAAAATGCATTCAAATTTTGTATGGCATTTTCCCATCCTCCATACTCTGGCAACTTAACTTGGAAATAAGATAGAATGGACTTAAAATGAATGCATGCAAAATTGACACCAACTGAAAAAAGGCTGATTTGTCCATCCCTAATTGAGAAAAATGACATTTCTGAAGAATGGGAGTAACTGGGAATTAGGAAAATAGGGCAGTAGGAAAAACAGGACAGATAATCAGCCATCTATTTTGGGTTGTGTTGATCAAAAACCTTCCCTATACATAAATTCAGTATTTAAATCAAGACTCTTATCTACAGCCACCTATTGATCTAATTTTCAGAGCTATCTTGTAGACTAGAAGTTAAGCAAGAAAAATAGATATGCATATAATTAATTCTGCATCTATAAAACTAAGTAACAACCTCTCACTGAGTATCAGCTGGGGACTGCTGTGTTCTAGCTCTGTGGACAACAGAATGAGGAAGATAATAAATCATAGTGAATATTTTAGAAGCATTATGAGAAATGCTCAATTCATAATACTGCATAAACAAAACCTCACAAAGGTAGGACTAAATGATTCTCTAGTACACCCGATACCAGAAAATCAGCACACTATTAAAAAGCACTTAACAAAGCATGTATTGAGCAGCTGTACAGTGCCATTCCTTTTAAGTTTACCCATGTCAATTACATAAATGAAGCTACAGGGTCTCTGCACACAGAGACACAGGAGGGCCCTTTCTCTATGGCCCACTTTGCTATATTGTTCATGGATGTGAAAGAAAATGTGAAGAATGGCTAGCACTGGAGGAATGTGTAGGCCAAAACATCTGGAGTGCTGCAAAATGCTCCCTCTGATCTATCTTATCTAAATAGCTTTAGTCTTAGACATACCATATGTTGAAGGTATAGAAGGATATGGTATTTAACAGTTAACTTCTCTTGCAAGAAACACAATTTTATTTGTTTATATGGCAGCCTTGAATCATTTATATTGAGCTATATTGAGCTTTGGCTAAGCTGGTCCTCTTTATTCACCACCTTTCTTCCAAGACAAGGCACTCAAGGTGGTTTACAATCACAGAGAAATAAAAACTTGATACAAACAATAGTGAATACATTAAAACATAGTTAAAAACACAGTAATGGAATAGAAACAGCACCCAGTACCACAGCCCAACAGACCTGCTTACATGTCCAAGTCCTGCTTGAATAAAAAGGTTTGCCTGCTGTGGCAACAGCAGGGGAAAGGAAGCCAGCCCAGCCTCCTTTGGCAGGGAGCGCCACAGCCCGTGAGCAGCCACCAAGAAGGCTTTTTCTCCTACCACCACTGAACGTGACAGTATTGAAAGAGGGCATCTCCTGAGTATCTGAAAAGATCTTCTTGTGGCACGAGCCACAAAGTATGCTTCTTTCTGTGGAAGTGTATGTGCCAACCAATGTGTTAGTCATTAAGGTGTCTGCTGAAACTGACTAACATTGCTCCGCAGCAGCTGTCCCTCCAATACGCAATTGTACGCATGCAGCTACAGACCTCTGAGGGCAAAGAACATGCTTCTGAGGCTACTTACCCACTCTTCCTCATCATATTCTGAATGGTGAGGTATAGAATCTTGTCTCTTAACCTGGGATGGATGATCCTGGTTTGGCTGATCAACACTTTCTTCAGCACTGTTCCGTGGCACAGTTGTTTTTTTCGGGACGCCACCCGGACGAGCTGTGTATAGAGCTAAAAGGGCACTTCTGATCAGCTGATCCTTAAATGCATGCACAAATAACTCTGTCTAGAAATATAATGAATATGAAGTCAGCAAGATTCAAGAAATGCACCTATAATGTACTACATAACTGTTATCATGACCCCAGAGAACAGGGAAAGATATATATTAATTATTTTCCCCTTGAACTTTCATTGGTTTAAGTGTACTCTAAGCTTTAAGGTTTTAACATCTGGCAGTAAACCCCATGAATGTACTGGAACTTACTTCTGAGTCGACATTCATGGGATTCTGCTGTAAGTTACCCAGAATTCTCCATTATGCAGAATGGAGAGGAACCTAAATCTATGGAATACAGAGAACTTCTATGACTATAAACTCCTTTACTTTTCGTGTTTTGTATTCCACTCACTGCTTTTGAGAAGGAAGGGGAATATATTTTAACAACTAAATATATGAAAAATAAACAAATACTAGAGTACAAACGTTCTTATTTTGGTTGCTTCTGGCTAATGCATTTTATCCATTAAATTTAAATGTTTTTTGAATATGCTGCTACCTAAAAACAGATATTTTCAGAGCACTAAAATAAATTAATTTTAAAAAATGTTCATCCTACAGAAATACAGTTCTAAAAGGCACCTGATAGAAAAGATTTAAGGAGATGATGTGATGAAAAGCATAGCAAATGCAGCACCACAGAAATGTTCACAAATGGGAATAGCACTTATGATTAAAATAAAGCCTGAGCATTTATTAGGGATACACTAAGACATAAGCCTTTCTGTTTCTGCTTCCATGGCTCCTCTTCTCTTCTTCCACTCCATATAGATATCTCTCTGACATGCATATTTATGTCCCCACCCTATTCTGATGCATGAGTAGAGCTAGCCATATAACCCTAGTTTTCTAATTGTGTATTTCTCCTCCAGATGTTTTACATTCTTAGTGACTCAGAAATAGTGATAGGCAACTGATATCCAGGGCTGGTGGCTAAAGAGGAAGGTGGCAACGTTGGATGGGCCACCAAAACAGCAGAAAGCACACTGCCATAACAGCACTACTACTTCCAGCTTGAACAGAGCATCCAAGAAGGTCAGGTGGAGCATAAGAGAGTTCTTAGTTGTCATGCCTTTACTCTTTCAGGTGAGGGAATATATCATGTCCAAGAGCACCCAGAGCAGACACCTCATCCCATGTATGTGTCGGGGCCAAACCTACTTTACACAACAGTGATGTTTTCAGCATATTCATGTAGTGGATGTTCAAACACTGAGAAGTGAGATACACATGTGTAACAATGCAGGGAATATACTGCAAAGGAAGTATACTTTACACATGGACATTCCCACGTAAAACAAAGTGACATATTGCAAAAGATCAGTCATTTAACATGTGACGCAGACTTAGTCTTCATCACACCTGCAAATTATGTCAAATGTAGCATATGGGTTCACTTAGCATGTGGCTTCCTGGTCAAGAATAAAAACAACTGAGCAATAAGGAAATATAAACAGCCCTATCTGTGTGTGATTCTGTGTGATTTCTGAAATCACTTACTGAAATAGCATGGGCAATACTACAGGGAAAGAGACCTTTTGGTACTTCCAGAAGAAGTGAACTGGGCCATGGTAGTGTGGGGCAAGAAGCAGTTTTAAGCACCCAGTATGTAGAAACCAAACTTCTGTGGAGTAAAAGAAAATATATTCGATCCTGTACCAGGTTCATTTTTCTTGAAGCAGAACAACACAGAAATGCTCTAACTGGGACATCTTCCTGGTTTCAGATTAGATCTCCAATCCATACATTTTCTTACAGATATTTAGCCAACTGCTAGCTAACTATCCTGCCAGCTCTTTGCAGTTAATGCGTGCCCACATGCTGCATTCACACAACGTAAGAAATGACCCGGTGTTGTTACCATGGTTTGCATTTTTTTTTATCCAACAGATGATCAAGTGTTTCTACATTATGTAGATTCTCTGATGTTGGGAATGCAGGTGATAGTTTTCCTTGGTGCACATTCACTAGCCATGCAAATCTGGATTCTGACACAGAGGATGAGGGGTGGGGTGGTGAGGCAAAGGGAGCTTGGGAACATGGGGTTCAAGTTTTCAGATGATAGAAGTGTCACTTATTTTAGTCAGATAAATCTGGTATGACTCTTGACCCCATGACATGGCGTCAGAGCATTGGCATATTGAAAGGAGGCTTTTAAACAGACCCTTCAGAAGGTATCAGGCCCAGATGGACTCCAAAGGCATCCATAAGCAGTTGTTTAGATTGGGTTCAGCTCTGTGCATGGATACGGATACATTCTGTGAGGGTTGCATTTGTTGGGTATCCTTTGGTGAGGTTTTGCAAAGAAATGCTCTGTTCCTTTGAATGTGTGAAGGAAGAAAAACTTGGTATGTGACAGATCTTCCCTGCTCAGTCCTCTTGCTGTATCCTATCAACTACTGTGCTTGAAATTCAATCCCAAGGTACATTGCTCCCTGCCTTTGCCTGAAATTCAATCCCAAGGTACATTGCTCCCTGCCTTTGCCATCTGTCTCTTCCTCATTGGTCCACATGGAAAGGCTGGATGGCTGGAATGGATCTTGCAGTTGTTCCTCTGAAATATAGTTGCACACCATGACCAGAATCTGGGGTTCAGACAGCAGAACAAGTCATGGTGGTACAGAGAAACCATAGAATAAACTATTGTTTATTAGTTTATAGAACAAATACAGAACAAACTATTCTTTCTTATCATGGTAACTAAGGTCCAAACTTACCATGGTGAAATACTATAACTGGGTTCAGACAGCATGACAGATTAACAATGGTAAAAAACCCATCATGGCTTGTGGTATTGTTTGAACTCAGGCATTAGAAAAGTCTGATATAGCTCTCACTGGTTGAAGGTGACAAAAATCTTAATTTCAGCCATAAAATATATGGCATATCCCATTACATATAACTGGCTAGAACAGATATTTTTGCACTTTGCTCTATTCCCATTGAAGCAGTAGGCTAAAAGAAATTAAATTTTAAAGCAGCAAATGCCATATTTCCATTGCTACACCACAGGCATGTGAAACTCAGACAAACTTGAGCTCACTGACGTTCCCCAATTCCATTTCAAAGCTTCATATCAGACTGTAAACTTTCTTCTTTTCACATGAAAATCCTTGCATATTTTTCAATGTATTTTTTCTTCATGTTTAAAATCCACACAAAGGCTTGACAACAATCAAAATGGAACAAAAAAGGAGTTCCCCTTTCCTCCAGTTAGGCCTAAAGCTTGTAAGCACCAGAATAATGTAACATTTTCTCTTACAAAGGAAGCCTATTTATGCAGACAGAAACAGCAGCTAGGGATTTGGTAGCACTAGTTGCCACTACAGGGGCCATTTCTGAATCTTACCGTTTCTGAAAGCATCTTTAAAGAATTCTTCAAGCTGTCTGGCAAATGCTGCCTTGCAGAATTAAGCAGCACGTCTGTGTGGCTTGATATGAGAGGCTGCAGATGATTGATGTTACTGAGAACTTCTTTTGCCTTGGCTGTGTTTTCAGGTGAATAGTAAATACATTGGTACACAGTACTGCAGAATAATAAATGCAGAGATAAAATATTTTTTAAAAATAAAGTCAAACTTTTAAGGGCCAGATGGCTAATTGTTATTCTGCATGCAAAGTCTCTCACCAACTCAATAATTAATATGGAAGGTATTCCAAAGTTTACTGTAACACATTTCTGGCCATTATTTTAAAACCTAACTTGCAGACAAGACAAGAAAACAGACCTTTCTAGAACAGAGAGATGGTAACCTTTTCTCTGATGAATACTCCAAGCAGGGCTGCTAAAATTAATTATTCCCTTAAGGTTTTTGAATGAACTGTTGTATATGCAGCATGAAACAAGCCCTTTCCAGATATGTTACTTCTAAAGAAAATAGAAGCTGATACAGTCTCCAATGATAGTGTCAACAGTCAATAGTCAACCATTTATAATGGGCTTATATAAAACTCCTTTCCCTATCTCCTATTCCTTACTCTATCTGCCCAATCCAGTTTAGCACCATTCAGAAAAGTGCTCAAGAGTATCATTATGATTCACAATATTTAGTAGTGGTCATTCAAATGAGCTAAAGCATCTGGGACACAACTAATTAATTTGTCACTCTTCAATACTTGCTAAGACACACTGTGCTAAACATACTAATTTATAGGAAAACGAGTAAGGGTATTCTGAGTTAGACTGAGAAAGAGATCAGCAAGAGTGATGTACAGATGTACGAACAACATTCCCACCCCCATTTCTAATTTCACAGATTTGTAATCTTGCAAATAAAGCAACAACCAGTTTAATGAAATAAATACATCTTGTGATCTTTAGCACAATCTCTCATATTTCTAGTCTCCTTTTTACAGCTTTTCTGTACACAATAGTATTCAATTTTCAGGGAATAAGCCCTTCCGGAACACAAATTTTCAGGGAATAAGCCTGGCCCTAACAGTAAAATAACCAAAATGCAAAGGAGCTATGTGTGGCCAATACTTAGATCATCTAGTTGAGTGGCCTTGTAAGGTACCCCAGGAACAACAGAGACAAGTCAGAGGTTTTCCAGGAAAAATCTGAGTACTAAAACCGCAATTAATGGCCGGTTAATGATTGGTTAATCCGATCATACAAGTTTCTTTACTGGCCCAAACAGACCTTAATATAGAACTTTCAGAATGTTAACGTTCATTTTTAGAGGCTGAAGATTCTTAAAAAAACAGCACTGAACTTTGTGAAAGCAGATACTGCTATTAGATGTACTTTCTTTCTCTTTTTCCTACACACCAGTATTATGTATGAAATCTGATAGAAGAATTGTGCACTCTAGATCTTATGAAAGTCATTTCTATTATCACCTCTTGATAACAGAATTTCAGTTGCTAATCTTTAGAAACAGAAGCACTGAATAAATACAGAATGAGGTTCTGAATAAACCTGATGGACAAGATAACTAATTGAAAAGATGAGATTGCTGAATGCATAGTTAGCTATATGACTGAAAAAAATGTAGGCTTGAGGGCAGGGATAATAGTGTAGTTCATGAATGCAATCTTGGCAATGCTGTTTATCATCCCCCACCCAATATATGCAGAGGCTGTGTGTGTGTGTGTGTGTGCGCGCGCGTGCGCGTATAAGTATGTGTGTACATATTTACAGAGGCTATAGTTATGTCTTCTAGATTAAAGTGTTTCTTCCCCTTACCAAACTTAACACTTCAGTACTGTCATTAATCTAATGTATGCATGCAATTTTAAACAACCATATTGCTTGTTAGATTACTTTTAATTTGGTGATGAGCTCTGATTTAAGTGTTACATTAGAACACTCAAAATACTGACTATATAACTTGCAGTGTATTTTGACTAAGTGTTATGGTGTTACTGAGTAACCTTCCACTTACAGATTTCCTAATGTATTAAGAACTGAAGTAAGTTGAATGCCTGGTGTTTAATGATAACATGCTGTAATTCTATTCCTGCTGTTAAGTGAGTAATTTTGTAAATTGAGTTAAATGTGTTACCATCTGGTATTGGGGGAGTTTCTTACAGTCATCACTGGTGTGACACAACCCAGGAGTGGACTAGGCCTCAAACAGAAAGAGCAATCCCTTCCAGGATGTGAAGACATGTATCATGTCCTGCCTTATGCATTGACCCTTGCCCCAACTTCCTCCTCACAAGCACGCAGCAAACAGCAGGGCCACTGAGACGCAGCAGTCCCAGGATGAGGGGAGTTTGGGGCAAGTGACAAGTGAAGGCTAGCAGAGCAATAGAGTGCTGAAAGGGAAATGGATAGGGGACTTCATCCTGGCAGTGGCAAGCAACAGGACTGCTGGGATGTGCACATCTGTTTCCTCTTACACGCCAAATCCCAAGAGTTTTCCCAAATGGTTCAAGGTAGAAAGAAGGATGTACATATTTGGGAAGCTGGAAAGGTTTGATGGGATGCAGGCCAGATTTATGTTTCCAGTTATAATGCTGAGAGTTCACTTAGGGGTTATACGACACATTTTCAATTTGGGATTATTTTGTCTGCTTGCAGTCTAGAAAGTTTTCCAATGTCCTTGTTCAAAATTGTTGAAAAGAAAACATACATACATTATTATCTTTCTCAAATTTTTAATGTGTAAATCACATTAAAATTGGAGCTGATCACTTAAGTAAAGGATTCTGAGTTAGTTATTTTCCTCTTTACCCATTAACTGATTCTAAATAAATGAAGATCTGTCACAAGTAAAATCAATAGAGATATCTTTTTAAGATATGAAGGAAAGCGTGCACTAAGAGCAAAACAAACTCAACAAATTCCCATTGGCTTGGTTCAGACATGCAGTCCTGGGTAGGTAAACCTTACTCCAAGTAGCCAGGAATAGCTGTCAACCCCCACGCCTCTTCTTTCTGCCCTTCCTTCTGTCTTGGGGCACTGATGCTAGCTAGCTTAGATTACAGTTCCCTGCTCTATGTGATATGGGGAAGAGTAGTTAAATACCCAATAAGGTTTTTGTAATCTGCCCAAAGAACACTTATTATGGGGACAGATTAAAAATAGAATAAATAAATACAAATACATTTATTAACTAGATCATGAACCACCCCTAGAGATAAGGAAAGGAAGGGGGAAGGACCATGCTCATTACTATGTATGTTTGTTTCAAGAAGAGGTTAACTAACCTGAAATGTAGGTTGATACTTTATTTCATTTCCTACAACAGTAACATAACCAAACCCTCTTGTAAAAACAAACTGGTATCATTATATTTAATACATATAGAATATATATGAAAAGTATAAGTAGTGCGCCTTGAATTTCTCCTACTGAGCTGTATCTTCCTTGATAAAATCTTAATAGAAAGTTCATTTATTCAATTTCTTTACCACTCTATAGCCAAAATTCTCTGAGAAAATCACAAACAATCTGAAATACAACAAAATAAAAGCATGATATAAAATGATGTAACATGCAAGATTTTAAAGCATTTTAAGACATCTTAAGGCCATTAACAATGAAATACCTGGACCTGGATATACCTGTATATAACAACTTTCCTTAAAAGCCCCATCATATGTTGTTTTAAATGCTTGGGAGTAAAGTTGTAGCCTGGTGCTAAAAAGATGACAATGTTGGCAGCAAGTAGACAATAGTAAGGGAAACATTCCTCAATCGGGGGCTACCATGAAACCAAATAGACAGCAGCATTCAATATGGCTATCCATAATTGATAACTTATCTCACAAAGCACTTAGATGGCCAAGTTTGGCCATCTAACTGGGCTGTGCTCCTGCTCACGAGGAGGCCTGGCTGAGGCTGCATATCTTAACAGCGCCTCAGTCCTCCTCTCCCTGTCCCTCAGAATACCCATCTGATGAGAGCCAGTGTGGTGCAGTGGTTCAGAGCATGGGACTGGGACTCAGAGGATCTGGGTTCGAGTTCCCGCTCAGCCATGGAGCCACCTGGGTGACTTTGGGCCAGTCACCAACTCTCAGCCCAGCCTACCTCACAGGGTTGTTGTTGTGGGGATAAGATGGAGGAGGAGAATGATGCAAGCTGCCTTGAGCCCTTTGTAGGAAAAAGGCAGGATAGAAATTGAAAAATAAATAAATAAATAAATTCTTGAAGCTGCACCCAGCGCAGAAAAAATTGTGCTGGCTGCAAAGTTGGCAAGAGGGTGCTCTGAGGCTGGAGTTTCAGCTCTCAGCTTGGACCATTTTTAGAGAACTGGAGCTGTAACACCTACTTTTGCTATGGCTGTCTCAACAGCATCTAGCAGCCAGAGGATCACAGCCTTAGTGACCAAAACCATATTTAGGTTAACTTCTAACTAGATCAATCAACTTCGGATCTTAAAACTTGAAGTAATAGTTAAATTATATCTCATTTGTCCTTATGACATATGTGTAACATGGGCCATTGTTCCTTATAAATAAATGTAGTTTAAAAATTAGCAACAAACTTTCTGCTGATTTATGAGGCAGAATTTAAATGACTTGCTTAAGGCATGGCAGAAATGGGACTCAAACCCAAATCGATGTTCAACACTCTGTTGACTAGCTTTGTCCTTCACTTCTGTAATAAGTCTTTAGGGACAATTTCAGTTTCCTTGAAGGTTTGTAACAGGGCATTAAAAACCTCGTAATGACAAGCCTGTGTGTTTTTGCTTCAACACATCTCATCTGATTAGCTTTTGAATGAGCGGGAAAAGTCTTTGGTGTATTCTGAAAATGATTTATGGACATTTTAAGCACTGAAACGCTGCATCAATTTAACTTACAACCCATCAACTACATGTTGCTGCACAGTGTGGTCTTAAAAATAATAATCTAGGCTGCCATCCACTTTAACCGAAAAGATGAATCTTCCCATTTACGAGAAGATGAAACATCCTATATGTTAGCACTGCAGAACAAATTAAGACCAAGCCTGGACAATTTACTGTGAATTGTTTGTACATGCTTTTGAAGGCTGTGGCAACAAAACCTCATGCACTAATAAATCAGTTGGATTCCAACATGCCACAGTATTTTTCTTCTAGGAGCTCTCTGC